CGAACGAAAGATAATGTAGTACGCCTAAATATAGCACGCCTAGAAAGGGGAGTGTCCATAAACAGTCAGTATATGTACACTCCTATTTCTCTTCAAAAATACGTATATCAGTGAAATACCACGTTTATTTACAAAACAGCAAGTGTTTGATCTGAACCTCTTTTGTATCGCCAGTGGCACGCACAAACAATGCGTGATTTACTTCATATTTCCCTTCGAAAAGGGTAAAAAACGCGCGGGTGCGGTAAAGAACCCGGTAAAAAGCTCCACTGGTGTGCTAGATTGAACCCAGCGATAGACCGATCCCACAACAACCGAACTGGACGCACGCTCGCTATCTTACGACCTCTTCGGTGAGCCATTACAACACATATGGTTGCATTGCAGTACTGCTATTCACAACAAGCAAAACCATGCGGACGAGCTTGTTAGAAAACATTGTAATCTAACCCCTGAGACACGGAAGGATAAACTCACTAACCAGACGACACAAATTCGCCGTGTCGTTTGTGTCTTTTGTACTTTTATTTCTTTGGTCGCCCGTGTTGTTCGCTATTTATTTTATTTCACATTGTCACAGGGGTTAGGTTATGACGACTGTTATTTAATTAGTTGGAATCGCACATGGGCGATCGCGAGATGTGCCGCAGCGCTACCACAGGAAGAGTGACTACTATATTCGAGGACAACCTTCTCTGGCACTGCAGTCAAAGGTACGTGAGCGCGTGCTTGAGAGAAGTTTAGTTCGTCTTGTTAAATCTGCTCATAATCCCCTCAATCTTGTAAGGACTTTTTCGCGCAGCAGTTATGGTGCCCTCACCAAGAAATCTGCCCTTTTCATTCTACTCTTCGGCAGAAATTCCGACTGCTTTGAACCAGGTGCTATTTGGCCCCTCTTAGGTGCAGGCATTAGGTCCTTCGAAGATCCATCGGAAAGTGTGGACACAGCACCAGGGACTAGCTTCTTTATGTGGTATCCCAGTGCATAGTTCCCCGGTTTAAAGTGCTGCTGCACACAACCGCAGATGAACATCTATTGTTCCCAACGAAGTTTCTTTTTGTATCTTTTTCTTTCACGTAGTGCTTGGCAATTCATCGTTCAGCATCTGGTGTGAAAACACCCCAGAAACCTTCCCCCATGTCGACTTGCGATCAGGGGTATGACAGCGAACCGGTGCCAGTGCTTCGGTGCTGAGAGGAAGTGCATGGCGTCACGACGCGCCGTGATATGGTGATTCTGCCGACCGATAGCCGTGTCGGCCCGGAATTCTACTAATTGTTATATAAGCGCCCGTCCGCTGTGCTCTGATGTACTCCGGTTTACATACGCTACCAAGTATATAAACCAGTCTTTACGAATTTCACCAACGTCTCCCATCTCCACCTCGTTCAACGGGAGCCCGACAGCGGGGAAGGAACGCCGGCCCGGAACCGGAAATCTTCTGACAGGCGACTCGAGACCCAACCTCGAACAAAGGCGATTTAGACCCAAAGGTGCCAGATGACAGCCAAACTATCTCGGATGAAGTCTAACTTTGGAATGTTTTTTTTTTAGAAATACAGCCAAGATACCGAAGCTTTGGCTAAAGTAGGTCGATTGGATTTACATTGGTTTTTTAAGCATTTTAATGCCATAAATTCCCAGACAAAAGACAAATGTTAGGCCAAAAAAATCTGATATATGGGAGCGAATATTTCTTGTTCTTGTGTTATTGTGTTTTCTTCGTTTGAAAAGGCAACTTGCTTTTTTTTTATTTTTTGCGAAAGCAGATTTTGTGAGGGTTTTTTATCAAAAATCGTTTTCTAGCATCAATCGTTTGTTTTAATACTTGACATTTCATAAACGTAGAATTTCTTTCTAAGAAGTTTAAATGTGCACCATTTTTTTATTGACGTTTAGAAGAAAATGTCATCCGAAAAACTGAGACAACAGAAAACGAGAGAAAGGAAGTCATAGGGAAGAGAAAGAAGTAATTACAATATTGGGTCTTTTGTTGAGGATTGATATTTAATAATATTAAAAAATCACACTTTGTATAAGTAGTGTTATCATAACCTATAATAACATTGATGAAGCACCAAGCCCGGATGCAGAGGACATCATTGCAGTTTTAACGGAGAGCCCTCAATAGCTCCACCACTGGCATTTGCGTTGGTGGAGATCCAGCTTTTGTCCTAATTGCAAGAGCAACTATTTACTGGTACTAAAGCAAATCTTAGAGAAGAAATAAAAAACTTTGTGATCAGGACGTCCTTACTACTCTCTCCTCTTCGATATAATTTTTAGGACGGCTCTTCAAGGACGTCTAGGCGTCCTGACCGTGACAACACGCTGATGTGTTGACAGTGCCGTGGCTCGGCAACCGTCGTAATATTACACTGAAGAATTTTAAACCTATTTCCTATTCAGCTAAAACGACCTAAAAGTAGTAAATAATCCTTAGAATGAATTGTGCTGCGTTGAATGAAAAAGAACGATACTGACACTAGAAGGATGCACGACATACACAGACACCCACGTTTTGTTTGGGTATGAACCTCTTACAATTGCGGCGATTCCTGCGTGTGAAAATATCTCGAGAAGTGAACGTTATTTCTTAAAAGTATTTCTGCGACGTCCGTGGTGTTTACGGCATAGATCCACACTGAAAAGGTGGATCTATCATAACCTTTGGTATGACGGCAGGCTGACAGACGTCATTTTCGAGTGTAGAGATTTCAAAAATAAATGTTTTTGTAAAGATGCTAATCCAGAGAAGCTTCCGCTTCTCGTTAAATATCGCAGATCAATTTAGTTCATCCATTCGTATATATTTATTTATTGTTTTTTTAGGAATATTGTTCACCCCTAAAGGAGCTGTGAGAGGTCTGGGTCACAAGGTCACAAAAATATACAAGACAACTTCACATAAAATATTCAGTAGAGGAGGAAAAAACGAAAAAAATACGGCTCATCCAGCCTATACTGAATCTGCGATCAGAAAGACAAAAACAAACAAACAGATATTTGACGCACTTTATACCCAACAGTAAAAAAAGAAATCGAACTGGCAACAACTATCGCTTCCTGCGACTAGAAGAATAAAAACTGTATATTTAACGGTATATATTACATAAAATAGAAATAACACTTGAAAGTTCAACTAGACAGTTGATCAGTGCAATGTTCTGGGGACGGTGATTCTAATCATAGATTATACGAATTAATAAAATGTCTGAAGCATAATAAACCTGACACAATTTACAATTCGGGACCTGATACAATTTGCTCAAAAATACTGAAGAACACGAGAGACATCTCCTGTTTATTTCTTCAGCTAATTTTTAACCAGTCATTGTCAGACGGCTGCGTTCCAACGGACTGGAAGATTGGTCGGGTCATTCCTGTCTTCAAAAGCGGTGATCGATCCCTTCCTGATAACTATCATCCCATATCGCTCACATGCATTACATCGAAGCTTTCAGAGCATATCGTCCTCTCTAACGTCATGAATCACCTCACCTGTAATAACTTTTTTTTTCCAAAACCAGCATGGTTTTCGCCAGGGTTATTCCTGCGACACCCAACTTTTTGAATTTCCTCACGACCTGCACACTAACCTTGAATCGCTCTTTCAAACGGATGCCATCTTCATAGACTTTTCCAAAGCTTTCGATCGGGGTTTTCACCTACGCCTACTCGCAAAACTATCGCGACTCAATATTCATCCCTTAATCGTATCTTGGATTCGCAGCTCTCTCTCATCCAGAGTCCAATATAAAGTCGTCAACACTTTAGAATCAAACCTTACCGATGTTTTGTCTGGGGTCCCACAAGGCAGTGTCCTAGGTCCGCTTCTTTTCTTGATCTTTATTAACGACCTTCCAAATTCTATCACCTCTAACATACGTTTATTTGCTGATGATTGTGTCAATAATAATATAACCAAATGGTGTGATCAATGACTAATGTTACTAAACCACTCTAAATGTATGTTTGTCTGTTTTTCTCGAAAACATTCCCCATCTCTTTTCAAATATTCTCTAGGCTCATCAACAATTGAGTGTGTTCAATCGTACAAATACCTTGGCGTTCATTTTTCTTCCCGTATGTCTTGGACCCTCCATATTGACTCCATACACGCCGCAGCTTCCAGAACGCTTGGTTACATTCGACGCTGTCTGCACTCAGCCCCTCCAGCTTTGCGCCAGCTGGCCTACGAAACTTTTGTGCGTCCGAAGATTGAGTATGCTGCTGCCATTTGGTCCCCACACCAGATTTACCTCACTAACACCTTAGAATCTATTCACAATCGTGCTGCCCGATTCATTTTTTCTAATTACGAACGCACCGCCAGTGAGTCGGCCATGAAGGCTTCCTTATGCCTCCCCACTCTCATTTCTCGCCGAAGAATATCACGCATCTGTCTTTTCCAGAAGATTTTTTATTACCACTTTCTACTCAGACAGTCTCTACTGTTAGAACCGCATCGTTCATCCCGACGACTTTTTAACTCCCTTAGTGTACGTCGCACCCATGGTTCCACTGTCACCTTGAACAGCTCATTTCTTCCTCTTGCCATAATAGAGTGGAACAATCTACGGGACCATGTAGTGCTCATCTGTGACCCCGACCTCTTCAGACATGCTGTATCGTCTATATTTAATATGTAATCAGTGCGATGCTCCTACCTATGGCCAGTGCTCAGCCACATCTTGTTTCTATGTTTTGTTTTTGTTTTTATTGTATAAAAGTTCTACTTGTGTGCTTCTTTGTGTTGCCCCCCCCCCCCTTATGTAATGCCCCTGGCGGGGCCTTTAAGGGATAATAAATTAAATGAAATGGAAATGAAACAATTTTCTTGTCCTTTGCTTCCAGATGGTCAAGCTTTAGGATAGAGCGGTCAAGCATTCACATGCCAATAATAAACCACAATAGACTTTTGATTATTTAATATTCAATTTGATTGCCTCCACGCAGAACCAGCGTCCATTGCAGATTCGTAGGGTTTATTTTTTAATTATTTTTGTTTACGGGTCGGCGCCGCGTCGGCACTGCTGTTTTCATTCGTTTTATCCAAATAATCTTCTGAATCAAATGATCCTTCACTTCCAGCGCCACTAGATGTGACGCATCTTCCTCGCCGACAGGTTCCAGAGAAAACCGCAAACCGCTGCAAAAGTATATATAAAAACAAATATTTTTGTGAACAGGTGAAAGAAAAAACCTAATCTCCCACGGTTTGTAGGATTTTATGTTTTAAATATTATAGTGACCTAAGTGGTTTCTATGTACAAAAAAAAACATGCAAAAAGACATGTATAAAAGACAGGTAATTTCAGGAGCTACGAAAATGGTAAACTGTGTTTGACCATTGAGAAAACTTTACTTTTTAATAGAAAGCAGTTTCTTTGAAGACGAAATTTAGCTACTTTTTTGTTGTCTTTTCCTACAATATTTTTACGCCGCCATTGTGTCACATGTTTTCGCTATTTTCGATATCTAAAAGTTTTGTATTATATCTAATCTAATTTTTATTCATTTTCGAACATTCTTGTAACATCGATTTGAGTTCTATTAGCATCGAAAGTTGTTAATGAACTTAAATATGGTAAATATATTTGAATGTTAGTGTAAGTCTTGGCCAAAAAAAAAAACAACTAATTAACACAGAGCTTCAGCCATGTAAAAAACTGTTGGCAAACAGATAATAAAATATCTCACCTAGGAGCAATTATTCGTAGCATTTTTGAAGAAATTAAGGCTTTTTTATAGCTTTTTAACGTTACTTTGGAAATTTGTCACCATGTACAAGTGAATTCGCGAGAGATACAATATTGTTATGCATTGTCTCGTACTCTTAGAAGGCCTTTATTTTTATTTCGCGCCCTTTGATATTAAGTGCAATAGTATTATTAATTCAACTACACCAGCTCTCTTGCTTAAATAACCAATTATTCGCTCTACTAAAAAATGGTATCGAAAAAATTCAATATTTTTTATTCACAAACTCGAAAAAACATGGGACTGAAATGCGCAAGCTATCAAGAACGTGTACTTCTCTTCCATTGAAATTTCCGAAAAATCGTGTGCAACTTTCTAATAAAATAACGGTTAGTTCTGTAACCTCGGCATTTCTCCGCACTGCTAGGTGCAACAATTGGGTGTAGACTGATCGGTCTGCAAAACGTAGTTCTTTTGTTTTTTTGGTGGTGACAAACAAGTCTCTTTTTTTTGGGGGGGGGGGGGGAGGGTGGGGGGAGGGGGGGACACTTTCTGCTATGTATAATGCATGCATAACTATGTAAGTCGTTTTGAAATTCTCATAGTAGCCAAAATATGCCGAAGCATCCTCTTACGAAAATGGTCATCGTGCCATTTCGCGGCGCAATTTTTTTATTTGCACAAACACAACTGTCGTGACGATACTTAAGACAGGATCAAAAGAGATGCGATGCAATCACTGCATTATGCCGTTGGTTGAGCTTTCTCAGTCCTGTGGTAGACTTCATTGACTCCCCTATTCATTCCAAAACAAAGTGCCCACAACATATTTTACTATGTAGCGAATACATTTAACCTTTTATTAACGTTTGCATTGTGTGTACCTTGCAGTGCGTTCCATCCGGCTTTTTTTCCAGGCTTAGAACCGGAAGAGAAAACTGAAGCAGAGATCCACGTTGGCAAACGTAGTAACAGGAGAAGAAAGGTACAGTCTGTAAATACGCGAAGGGAAGTATCAGATCCGATAGACATGCCCAGATAGCGAATCATGCATTTCGTTCTCAGCAAGTTGCAAGCATGGTGAAACTTTCTTGTCCCCTCGTTTATTCTCGTCACATTTAGTTAAACCTGAACGCTGTGCTCTGAAATACGTCTGCAAGTATTAGTCTTCACATCTAGCGAAGGTACAAGCATTAAACAGTTATGTGTGTGTTGGTTGGCTTTAACTGATACTATTAACATTTTCAGGTCTTGGCAGCTGATTATACGATCCTGAGCAATCAAGATCATTATGTAATTTAGTGCGAATGTTTGAGAAAAAAAACTCGCCTGGCTTAGACATACCCTCAAATACAGTGAAGTTATAACAGGACTTGAGGCTTTTGATGGGAACTGTTGACAACGTGTCAACAATTTGTCCGTTTAATTTAGAAGGGTAATCGCAACGTCACGTACCGTGGAACTAAGATGTCACGTAACACCGTGACGTCCAGTGACATTGACACGTCACGTCACACCACGACGTCACGTGAGACTACACAATTCTAGTTGCCCCTCCAAATTTAGCGGTGAACTTGGAATGAGTCTTAAATTGTGGTGCCATGTGATGTCATTACGTAGCGTGGTATTGTGACGTCTTTCTTTCAAAACCACACGACCAAGAAAGGACGTGGTGGGTTCCCATATAAAGCTATTGCTTTAAAAGTCACCAATACACTACATGACAAACGGCGTTTAAATAGTATGTTTGGGTGTCATGTACAGCTAGCGTTTATTAGGTTCCTTAAAGGGGCATTCCGGCGTTTTCAACATGGTCCCCGATTTGGATCCAGATTGGCAAAGCAGACCAAGAAACATCGCTGAAATAGCAGCCAAAATATAAAGAAAAACTTTTTTTTACTGCAGAGCTACTGAATTTAGAATTTCGGGCAGCACATTTCTTTTTTAACTAAAGGTTTCTATACTGACGAATAAAAAAGTGACACGAGCGGCATACAGCTGCTCACTCTTGGTACTTTAGAATTTGTTCCCGACTGATTACATGCACTTTCATAGTTTCATGTGAAGGCTTTGAAAGCTTGTTACAGCACCCGCGCAGCAGAGCGAAACAAATAGCCGGCAGACTGTTTATTAAACTACTTGCTCACCATGCAATCCTGCCTGCCTAGGGACGTCACGGCATTGAAAAGCGCGGGTATATTTTAATGTTCGTTTTGACATCATTTTTATTTCCTGATTTCACAATAACTATGCTGAATTTCGTGCTACAAAATAACATACCGGAAAGGATAAAGGCCGATAATTCAGAAAATTGACGGAGTACCCCTTAACGGAAAAATTGGAAGACCTCTAGTCATTCTTTTTATTTTTCCTGTTTCTAATTGAGGTGCTTTTAAATTTGAATAAAATGTTAAACCCGTTTCAATTACCTATATGCATACCGTGTCGTAAAAAATATCAAAATTATTTTCCTAGTTCAGGTTCCTGTATTAGCATTTCTTTCCGCGATTGTGATATCTTAGCGGAATAGGAAGAGTTTAAACTTACCCAAACTCTTGAACATCTGCTTAAACCTGTCGAGATTGTGATATGAACTTCGTAAGTGGTGATTTATATTTAAGGGAGAGTTTCAAATATATTTTCTTTAACGAATTATATTTTCTTTATTTATTTATTTATTTATTTATTTTTTTGCTAGCTTACCATGGACGGCTAAGAGAATGTCTCAAATGAAGCAAAACATTAGGCCTTCACAAATAAAAAAGCTTCAAACCTGCAAAAAACGGCCTGAGGCAAAATAAAACATCAATATTGTTTTGAACTTTTATTATTAATAAACTATCTTATATTGAAAATAATTCAGATTGCTTACAAACCTAAGGACGCGAACAACTTTCACCAACTACATCAACTTAATGCATTTTATAAAAAAAGGCTTCGCTATGTCTTTCCAATGCCTTATATAGAACTGCTCCTAAATTTTACATTTACTTTTAAATGTAGTGTGGTCCTACTTTAAATAATGCTCTTCTCGACAAATCGTAAAAAGAAAAATTAGAAGGCCGATATTTTATTTATTTTACTTTAAGCATTTTGCGATTGGCAAATCTCCATATCGTGTTCTACTCTGATCATTTCCCTCATTCAAAACATTTGGCAACTTCTTTCAATGGGTGGATACAAAAGGTATCAAGTTATGTAACTAACCGAAAACATGTTCCTACTAAGTGTGAAAGCTTGTAAACTATTAGAAACGAAACTTTACAAAATTGCAATTATGTGTCATGGCATTCTTTCTCAAAGAAACACCTTAGAGCTATACTATAAGCGCTTGGCATTTCGCAGAAGCGGCGAACGATATAACTAATTTACTGCCATACGAGCCTAAGCCACGAATCTCGCTTTCCGACGCATTTAGGGGTTATTCACATTTCCATTGGAATTAAATTTGCGAGAGTTGCTTACTACAAACTCTCGCTTCCATGATAAAGCCATGCTAGTGTGGAGTCAACACTATGCATTCCTGAATAACCAAAAACGTGAATGGAAACGGGCTGCTTGCTCACAGTTATATAAAAAGCGTATACGAGAAATGAATGTTTCGCGGGCTGTATCCACTGACATTCTCGAAGCTCTGAAATCAACTTCGAATTATTACGTTTTATATTGCAACGGATGATCTTCTCTGCTTGTTGACTGAGAACGATGGTTTCGCCTTGAGAATCACAAGTTAAGAACATACCTACTTTTTACATTTTATATTCCATATTTTGTGCTCTTAAAAATTACAAACTTCCCGTCACGTTTGCGACTCACAATGATAACAATCTGCTGGATTATGAAAATATGAAAACCGATGGGGGGGAGCTAAAAATGCGGGAACGGAGCATTACGTTTTAAAATGAAAAATCTCAACCAGACAGTGATTTCAGCCCCAAGCTACGTTGAGTAAAAAAAAGACTCATAATCATCATAGACCTCCATAACTTTAAAACTGCAAGGTCTTCCATCTGCAATTATTGTTTGTGATCAATCTACCACAAGCTATTCCGCATGGAGAAACATGTACGACTAGATGCTACCCCGCGCGGAGTAACATCCAGTAGCAGACTTTTCTCAATGAGGTGCGAGGAAGAACTAAGTTTGTTGCATAACAAAGAACAATAGTTTTAAATCAAAACATTGTAAAAAGCGCTTTGGTTTAGTAGTCCGGATTTCAAAATTCATTGAGCACCTTGCGAACCAAATGTGCAGGATTTTGTACGTTTTGACTGAATATAGAGAGCTATTAACTGTGAATAGTTTCCTATTTTGGACAGAGACTTATTTCTATGCACACTAACTCCAATACGTGGGGACAGTGGACACCACAACATAAATACATAGGGTTAATTCATTTATATTTTTGTATCACACTACACTAGCTTGCCTGCATCAATAATATAATATTTTGTCTAATTTCTCTGTGTGCCATTTCTTGTCAGCCTTGACCTTTACTACGCGGGGGGCGGGGGGGGGGAATATTCGTTTCCATTGCAACTTTGAGAATAACACGAGCCAACTTGAGATGCTAGGGACCTTTGACATACTGTGATGGCATACGCCAAAGGGTCCAAGCTTTTTGTGCTAGCCTAATGTATTGGTGTAAATAAAAAAAGTCACACCTGGTCACCAGGATGCTGCTGGGTGGCTATATGTACATTCTTGAGCCCTGCCCTCTCAATTGTGAACAGTTTGTAAGTAAACTCACCTGCTACAGCCCCTGGCTGGCTGATCAGCTGACGAAGAATCGGCAGGAGTAAGAGTGTGGTTGCGGTTGACAGGAGAATCAGTGTGCAGGAACACGTCTCTAAAAGATGTATTTATTTAGTCACAATTGTATTGATCTAATGAATAACTAAAAGGGGAATACCATAAGACGAAATATAAAACACCTTATGCACAGAACGATAGCAAATAAGGTTTAGGTGACAGAAGGCATTGCCATCACCCGAGGTCAAGTAGCAGACCAAATCGAAATGAAATTTTGCCAAAATACACAAAATTACACGTGATATTGGCTAAAAAAAATGTTTTCGCGCCAGTTGAATCACAGCTTTTGCTCACAAGTTCATAATTTTTTGTATGCTTATGAAGGCTGAATATGGTAGACAAAGCATGGTGAACTGAATACTTAATAAAAGCTGTCATCTAAACCTTTGCTGTTTGTATATGATTCGTCCATCTTAAGCGAAATTCAACGTTACTAAAACACTCAGTTGGGAAACTCGCCGTCGAAACCTGGGCCGCTTGCGTCCACTGAGACCGAGCTAAATACGACAACAGCGCCACTATTTATCATTTGTCTGAACTGTGGTCACATTGAGCTTTCAGAAAGCATGTTTTTGTGTAAAAACAAATGGAAAAGACTCTTTTTGTATAAAATGTTTTGGAATTAAGTACAAAATGAAGGGCGCGTGATGTTTTTATAATCTTTAGTTTGCAAGGTTTTGCGGAACAATTGATATTGTTTTTATACAACCATTCCTCAGCGGTGCCTTCAGGTAGCGCGTCCCGACCTAGGTGCATTTTAACTTCGGTAGTAATTCGCGGCGCGTCCGCTGGGGAGACGGGTGTGGCACCCCTGTACCCTCTTCCGCTGTATCTGTTTCGGCGCCAGAATGGCCGATTAAGGCCTAAATAGAAGTAACGTGCAGCGGCCTCGAGTGGCCGCTGCAGTAGAAATGGCGGCGTTGTGTTCGCCATTAGCTCGGTTCCGGAGGACAGATCGGGACCGCTTCTTCAGAGCAATCTCTATGACAGTTTCCCAACTGAGTGGTTCTAGTAACGTTGGCGAAATCTAAGCCGATACATACAACGCTTAATTGCCACAACAGGAAAAAAGAACTATGTTCTGGCGCAAGTAAACGGAGCAAAGTTTACGTTTAGATTCGAACGGCCATCCCGAAAACGCGAACGTACTTAGACTACGGGTGAAAGAGGCAAATAATAGTCAGCGCGACACAGGTACTTTTGCCACATGTGTATTGCGACCGCTCCTCTTTCTAAAGCAGGGGTCTCCAAACCCCGGCCGCGGAGGTCTTACGACCGGCCCGTGGCTGGCTGCAGTCCTCCCAATGGAGCCCGGCCCACGGCCCGCTTCTAGCACGCCCACTGCTACTGGCGAAAAAATAAACGCGTGTAAAACGGCGCCGCGGCGCGCACCAACCGCGTGAACGAAGTTACCTGAAAAAAAACGAGAGAAAACTGACTACCGTAAGGCGTGTCCTCTGGTCATATTAGTAATTGGACATAGTCATTAGAAGAATCCACACCCTAGTCTCCTGTTCCATATCTGGGTAACTAAGTAGGTTAAAATTAATTTACTTCCCGATGTATATTGTGCTTGGTGTACTGTGCCGTAGCTATTAAATATTGTCAGCATAACTTCTATCGTTCTCACTAGTCTTCTGCCCTGTGTGAACGTGCCAAAGTTCCTATGCGCTCTTGTTTATGCTGCTATGTTTTCTGGGCTCCAATTATTGTGTGATGTCATAAGCAGCTAAATTATTAAATTTCATAACAAAGTGAATGCATTCATTTACCTTAGAATCTTTTTGTTCCATGTTTACTCTAACTTCAAATATTGTATATTTAAATGCTTAGATATCTAGGATTATTTATTTAGATTTTTCTTATCTACATCTGCCCACTTCTATTTCCGGCCCTCGAGACAGAGACAGAGCCTCCATCCGGCCCCTTAGCCAAAAAGTTTGGAGACCCCCGTTCTAGGAAATAGCGCGTCGTCTGCTCTGCGACACGGCGACATCGGCAACGTCGCTCGGTTCCAGGCACTACTGGGGGCGCGGAGTTCGGGAGCCGGGAATACAGGCGCCGGAAAAATGAAAAATATTCAACTCTTAAGAAAGAAACGGAACGCGTAAAACAGAGCAGTGACGTCAGAGAGGGCCGCAGAAGTCTTAAAGTGTCGTGGTCAGGGCAACGTAATAAGTGTTTGTTTGGACCGCGCATTACAGTGCGCAAGGTTTTGCACCAAGCTATAGGTGATAGTGCTACTTGCCTTTCGCTACATCTTGCTAATATGTGGTTTTCAGCCCGTCACCGAATTGAAAGGTTGAAAGGTAAATGTGCCAATTGCGTATCCAAGTACATGGTACTCAGTAGGACAGCTAGCCTTGAAGTGTTAATTTATGTTTCACGGGAGCGGAGAGCAAGCTTATATCTGCACTTATAATGCATGCTGTCAGGTATGCAATGAAGTCTAAATTGGGGTGTCGTCGCGGTTTGAACTACCCTGCCTACAAAACATGGTTTTGTGCAATTAGGATTACGAAACGACCACTTAAGGTCCGTATGTTCTTGTACGTGTGTGTGTGTACGAGAGAGAGGGGCGTGAAAGCGTAAACAGCAAGAGAAGAGTAGCGGGCACCACGCGATCTTGACAGCAGATGAATCTCATCGTACGCAAATTGAAGCGACATCATTACTAGACAGTATTATCCATAGCGTGCTTGTGTTCTAAGGTCACTGGAACATCGATCTTACTGGCACGTCTAATGTTTTAAGAGCTCATGCGTCGGACTGTTTCCGAAACAAAAATAAGATACGTCTTAGACATTCTTAGAAAAGGGCGGACATTCTCGCGACCCTGATGGCCAATCGCGCGAACGTCAGATAGGACGATTACTTAGCTTATGTGTATCCTAGTAACCAACACAACTAACCTTCCGCTGAAATGAAGGCTTTTGACTCTGTAATTAAATAATTGCTCTGCAGTTTCTAAATTATTATTTGCTGTAGCTACTTAATTATTCTCTCTTACTTCATGGCGTGCTTTTGTTACTTAAAGGACAGTTTTGAGGCTGGTTATTTTACTTCTCTCTGGCAACAGCAACAAATCGTGGTGATAGATTGTACTAAATGTGGCTTGTTTCCTTTTCAATGTATTAAAATAAAGCCAGGATTTATATAAATCATCCTTTGTTTTTATGTTCTGCATTGCATTCACTCTGTCTTACGTGTAACATTAATGGCAATTTCTAATCGTGATCAAAGAGAATATTTGGCGAGCTGAGCACTGCATATCAAAGGTCAGTCGGGGCCATTCACTTTTCCTTACTCTGTTTTTGCTATTTCATATCTAAACAGTGCCTTTGTTAGTCACGCCTTTAAAGTATACAAGAAACATCGCCGCGGCTGCTGTGTGCGACGACCTCTCCCACCCCATAGTGCCTTAGAAGAGAAGTGCGTTAGCTTATCGCCGGAAGTTTATTACAAAGTACGCGTAGCAAGACAGTAATCATTATTAGCCTATTATAAAATGTTTATCTTCAATTCCAACTAACTTTTTTTGCCAAATCAGTCACATCGAAACAAGAGCTCAGGGTCAAATCACGACTTCTTTTTTTAAAATATTGTTTCACATTTAATTATCGTGCCTGAAAGTTAATAACTTAATATGCTAGTTACAAAAATAATAGGTTTATGAATGCGGTTCACCAAAGCCGCTATCGTCACGTGAGATTTATTTTCGCTTACTTACCAAACTGCAATTTTTGTTAACAATACTATTCTCCTTCTTTTCTTTTTTTTTTTTGGGGGGGGAGCTAAATTTTTTTTTCACGTTATAGAAGTTCAACGTTTTCTAGAAGCTTTTTGTAAAACATGACCTCTTAAATTATTTTTCTCTTAATGTCTGACGTTATAAATCATGTTGCTAGGTCCCATGTGGTCATTTTTAAACGCCTATTAAGTATTTAAGCATTTTTTTTTTGTTTTCAGTAAACTACGCGCGACAGTACATTCGACATGCACATCAAACTATTGAATATTTCATGAAGAGCCCCGTATTCTCGCAACTATTGAATAATAAATAACATAAAAATAATAATAGTTGTGACTTCCCCAGGAATGTTATTTGTATAATCGTATACATCTTTATGTTCAATCGACGTCCATGAGATGTATATAAGTATTTAGATAGTCGTTGCGAATGTCGATTCCGTTGAGATAATATTTCTACAACGTCTAAACTCGGTACTCCCATAGGTGGTTGAAGAGTGAACAAACTTACCAATTATCCAGAAAACTAAAAGGCCACTAACGAATATTCGAGGAATGTTCATTTCTACAACTTCCAGTGACTGCCACCAGGATTCTCTAAACAAGGGAAGACTAAATTAAAGTTCGGGTTATATAAAGATCTGCCTGTAAGATCTGGCTTTATATAAAGATCCGCTATATGAAAAGTGATTCAGATGCCCACGAACAGTATTGGTCTGCTTGACTCATGATAATGTATTCATGTTATATATATATATATATATATTTTTTTTTAACTATTGTTCGCTTCGTGTGAGTTCTATGTTGAAACCGGTTGCTTTCGACGACTCAGGGACATGTTTCGCTATTTCGTTTGTTGTAGCGCTGACTTGGGATAACCTCCGAAGTAAAGTTGAAGCCTTAAAAAAAAAAAAAAAGAAGCAAAAGGCCCCGGTACATTGTGTGCACGTAGCCACTGTTGGTACAATAAACTTTGTACACCTACGCATTCTTCGCGTTGTTTGCTTCTTTCTTCTCGGAAAGCCAGCCCGGAGCAAAATTCGCATAGCAACATAGCTGCTGTAACTCTACTGCTTTTGTATTGTTCGTTACGTTTCTCTTGGTTCACCACCTGCGTCATAGCGGTACTATTCATATCATGTGCCTCTTATGCTACAAAGTATTTCACTGAAAACTACGCATTTATAAGATCGACGGAGCCAAAATCTCACAGGAAAAAAAAAAAGAATAAAATTGTAAGGCACTGACCAGACATCGATGGTAATAAAAAGGGGCCTAACTTCGCCTCACGTCAAGTCCGACCTCAAGCGGCAGTAAAATCCGATGGAGCCTGTTAAGCAGCACCGAAATTGCATCGTCACGCCACTCGTTACCTTCGTGCGTCTGCTATTACCGAAAAAAAAAATCGCGCGCAGTGAATGGGCCGCGATCCTGCGCTTTCTTCTGTGCGTGATTAGTTGAGCCGGTGGCAACAAACGGACAGAGACGACGAGCGCGTGAAGATGCACTTCTCGCGCTGTTTGATAAGCTCCATGCCGTTGTATCGCCGGCCAGCTGCAGCCGGACTTATGGTGAACATGGTTAAAATCGCGCACAAAGAGACGAGGACAAACGAGGAAGGAACACAGAACACAGAACACAGACAGGCGCTGTGTTCGTTCCTCGTTTGTCCTCGTCTCTTTGTGCGCGATTTTAACCATGTTCAACGTTTACCAACTCGCCCAACTTACTACTCTTCTACGACTTATGGTGCGTTTACACTTTCGAATGCAGAGGGCAAGTTCGTCTGCTTCTTGCACAGGGGTTGCGATGACGATGACGTCAGAACGCTTAGTTCTTATTGGCTGGTTTCGAAAAACAAATATAGTGGTTAGACGTCGAGGTCGAGACATCTTTTGCGTTCTGGAAGTTCAGTAACTTTTAAAGAGTGACCATGCGGTACCTCGAATGCCATAGAAAGCAATTTTTCTTAATAGTAGCTTTTTATGAACATTGTCAAATGCTTTCTTGAAGTACAGGAATATGCCCACTATCAACATGTTTTTCTCTAAGTTCTTATTTTTTATTCTAAAGGCTTACTCAGTAGACCTATTTTTAATAAAGCCGTATTGCACATTTGGTATTATGTTATTCGCGGTGTGAAATCCGAGAAGTGTTTTGTTTATGACATGCTCCATTATTTCAGCAAGTATTAAAAGTACTGAAATTAGACTGTAGTTGTTTAAACGATCAAGCTGGCCACCCATATGAATAGAAGCTACGCGTGTCAGCTTAATTTTGAGCTGAGAACACGCCCGTAGAAACGGCTAGATTGCATATGTTTGTAAGCGGTGGGCTCACTTGCGAACAGATGTCTTTTAACGCTCGAGGTTTTATAGACCCTTTTCGAAATACTGCCCTCTGTTGGCAGCTGTGGGATCCCTGCACAATGGCGGAACAAAAACCGCAACGTCATGGCACACTTTATGCGTTGGGTTTAGGGGTGTGCGAATAGCGATTCGAATCGAATAGCACAACGTCATTCATGGCCTTCGCGGTGAAAATGAAAGCCGATGCAACCGGCTCTCTTTGCGCTGTTGATGATAGGGATGACTGCGCTATTCGATTCGAACCACTATTCGCACACCCCTAGTTCGGTTGGAATAGAAAAAAAACCACATCCACAGAAAAAAAGTGATGAACGCAGTGACGTTGCACTTTCTCCGCAATTTGAGTGGCTCGTCGGCTCCTAGCGTTGGCGGCGCTCGGACGTTCGCTATCTCATGGAATGACTGGCACGTTCCACGATGTCAGTTGTTCCGCCATTGTGCAGCGGTTCCGACCTTCGAATAATCGGCACGCAATTTCGAAAGAGGTCTATATCACCTGCGCCAGAGGCACTTATATTCTTTAAGAATAAGATAACATTTATTATTCTATGCTCATCGGTAGGATAACAAGTACAGTCGTGTGCGATATGATGGCGAACACCGGGCCGTCGACCGCTCCGTGCTATCAGCGCCATGACGCGGCTGCAACCGGCTAATCCAAGCCACTTCGCTCGTAGCGCCCTCCCGGGCACTACGAGCGAAGCGGTTCGGATTAGCGTGGCAGCCACGTCCAGGCGTTGATAGCTCGGAGCGTGGACGGCTCGGCGTTCCCCTTCATATCGCGATAAGAAAGCGAGGCGTGACGGTAGCCGCGTCATCGCGGTGATAGCACGGAGCGGTCGACTGTCTGGCGTTCACCTTCATATTGCCGGCGGGTGTACACTATACCCAAATCGAGGGATAATTGCTTGCAGCGGTATGGGGCATGGAACATTTTCCACATTGGTTATGGGGATCCAACTTCCGCGTATTGACTGATCAGAAGCCTCTAGTGAGCAGCCTGGAAAACCCAAGGTCATCACCGCCGGCCCGCATACAGTGCCTTGCACTCCGAATTCAGCAGTATTTGTTTGATGTAAAACACAAAGCAGGAATCAGCAATTCATCGGAATACCTCTCAAGATATCCATTGCCACTCTAGAAATGTATACTCGAATTGAAAAAGTCCCAGATGAGTATGTCAGCTTCCCATCCAACGACATTGCATTCCGAAAATCTACCAGGTTGTTGCTGAAAAGACGAAGGCATACAGACAACTACAGCTACTCATAAGAGCTATACAAGATATTTGGCAAAATGACTGGGTGCAACCAGAGCGAAATTATTTCTATCTGTCAGGACAGGACTCATCCAGGCACCAGGGCCCGTTTACTCGAAGCCGGTTAGGTTTAAGTGTGGCAAGAAATTAAACACCCTTCCCGACTAGGCTCGTACAAGTACCTAGCCAAGTTTGACGAGGGCTGGATGCGCGATAGCTCCGTGTTTTATTGGAGAGTGGTAGCTCGTGTCACCTACTGGTTGTTGCGAAAATAAAGTGGCTTTCATAGAAAACTTTCTGAAGAAGGGGGACCTAGGTAAGCGTGCTGCAGGTTTTTCGCAACGCAGCGCGGCATACATTTGAGCTTGAGAAGCAGTTTTTTTGCTCGTGGTGCAAATAATGGGTAAGGTAAAACCGAATAAACCCGTGTTTGGCAAATTGTTCGAAGCTTGGTCGTCTGAAGTGGAGACATGCCTCGTTAAAATATCCTTCCCACTGAGAAAGAGGACGACAAAGTTCAGCTATAGAAACGTTGAAAAAGAAGTTAGCCTTGAATGGCGGGCGCCACACCGGCATCATGTTTGGCCAGCATGTAAGAACTGTACATAAAACCTTCTTCATAAAATGAAAATCGCGTACTTCGGCTCCCACGGCGATTGGTACGTGGTCTGCTATGCTGGCGCGATCAATGCCCCGTCGATCGAGTCAAGTCAATCTAAAAAGATTCGAAAGAAATGGCCATGTCGACAATTACTGCGTCCCTTTAGGCTTAGAAATGGCCAGAGTCGAAAGACCATCTAAATCATGGGGCGAGATAACTGCTCATACTTTGCAACATAAATGGGATAAAGCAAGGCGAAAGCCTCCTGCACCATTCATTGCAGACAAGCGTGCCCTATTGTGCAGCAACTATGACGTATTAGGCGTGGTCCGATCCAACATGTATTCCAGATTCGTGTACGAGGACCCGTAAAAAATACGTGTCCCGAAGCATGAATACGTAGCGAAATTTTACATTTTCGTTAGGACGGCTTTCCGGAAAACATGAGCATATACATTCAGAATACGGACGAAGAAGAGAGAGGATAGCTAGCGCGGCGGAGGCTGGCGGAGGTACTTCGCGGCTACGGGAATCGATTTTTTGCGAAATCCCCCAAGCGCCCCGGCCCGCGCGCGAGGAATTATGGGAGAGATTATCCTTCGCCTGGCCGCTCTGCCTTGAGATCGCGTTGCCTTGTCGCTTGTCTCCTCTTAATCCTCTGTTTTTCAATTCAATTAGCTATTCTTATCTATTCCAGTGTATTTGTTATGGCCTCTAAGTGTTTCTATTTTTTTCGGCGCGTGATATTTCTTGTATATATTATAGTATTTGTGTCTTTATTTTGCCTTTTTCGACGGGAGTGCCGACGGGCAACACGCCGCTTCGCGCGTCGTTCCCCGGGTGTGTACTACCGTTGCTACCGATTCCTATCGCGCTGTTAGCTGTTCATTTTTGGTTCATTTGACCCGCGTGCAGTCGAGAGGAGCCTTTTATGAACATCCGCGCACATGTCATATTGGTAAGCAGAGCTCTGAATCAACAATCGCGACGCGGGAGCCGAGTGCGCTGTTATTTGGCCGCCCGCGCTCGCTCCGTTGACTCGCACTGCAGCGTATGCCTTCGAGCTCCGCTTACTTGACCAAGACACAGCACGCCGCTTTGTCGCCACGAACCCTTTGTGCGAATGTTTGCGAAGCTGAGGCATATGCAACGCTGCGGCGCCTGACAACTAAAAGATCTTCCAGCAAAAGTTGAGTGCTTCTATTTTTACGGAATCCATACTGAGACTCATTTATGAAACAGAACACTCTAAAAAAAGCCCGTGCGTCTGCTTTCCCGCACAACACTCCGAGAGCCAATCACCGCAACTTACGGAGGCAGCTCAGCGAATGACAATGCCGAAACATATATTAAGTCCAAAAAGTGCAGTTTGAGTTGGGACATTAAGCAATGCAAAACGTCACGCTTGCAATGCTTAATGTCACAACTCAGGCTGTGTTTTTTGGTCTAAACATATGTTTCGGCATCGTCATTCGCTGAGCTGCCTCCGTAAGTTGGTGTGATTGGCTCTCCGAGTGTTGTGCGAAAAAGCTGACGCATGAGCTTTTTTTAGAGTGAACTTCTCGCAATGCGATGTCATTGTGTTAAAAACAAATTTTTCCATAATTTGCGCTATGACTGTCAATATTGAAATGAGTCTATAATTTATAATTTTTTTACTGCCATTTTGATATAATGGTCTCACAACAGCTGTTTGCAATTCAATAGGAACTTTCCCTGGTGACAGTGATTCGTTTCCTATTTTTACTAGTTGTTCTAGTGACCGGCCCTGCAAAAAATCGTGTTTTCTTTTCGGCTATTCTCCTTTTTTCTGGTGTTTTCTATTTAGTTAAACTTGCTCTTTAAGCTACTGAATGTTCTGCTCATATTACTACAGTTCTGTATTATGTTCATACTTTCAAAAATAACGAGTAATTAAAGTAATCCGTTACCAATATTTTGTAACGAAATTACATTGAAAATTAGCTCCGAAAAAAAGTAATGTGTTAATAATAAAATTGCTTGAAAAAGTAATGGATTACAAGCAATCCGTTACTTGTAACGGATTACTTCCCGAGTAGGATTTCACGGCAAAGTGGAGACGAAGCACGCGGAAGGCATGCGAACATTCGTAAAAGGCCGGAGGTTTTTCATCCGAGAACGCCAGAACCCTAGAGCGCTTTCCGTCTTCATCTGGGAGTCACGGCGGCTGAGCCGGGGTCGGATGGTCGGATCTCCGCTCTGTGTAGCTCTTTTCTTGCTTATGTTTACCGGCGTCTCGCGGGAGTGCCGGCGCCCCGCGGCATTCCGTCTCTCGCGGGAGTGGCTCGTGAGGAATCTCGTCGAATTTTCCAGGTCTTCCCCCGCCGGCGTGCGCGTGCCGGAGGTGGATGCATTTGATCGGGGGCATGCGGTTTAGAGAAGCTCGTTTTAGCAAACGCCGTTTTACGGAGCCCAGTTTATCGAATCGCATCACTGAAAAAATCAGTTCAGAGGAAATAGCGATAAGCCTGCTTTTAGCAACTTCTGCCGCCGCGAAGCGGGGTGTACGAGTGGGCCAGGTGTGCTAATAATTTTGAAATGAGCCGCCGCAGACTGTCGCCGCGAAGCCGCGTTAACCAGGGGGGAAAGGGGGTGGGGATGGGGGGTACCAGGCGCTTTAGTGATACACGCGCGAAGTAGGGGAGCCTTTTTTTAAACACCCTCCCCTTTTCGATAAACAACACTTTCTCTTGTTCTGATGAAATGACGTTCGATCAACCATAGTAAACCCGAATTTGATGCTGCAGTTGTTTCCGCGGAGGCTCAGTGCGTCATCCCGTCGGGGCGTGGCGGCGGAGCGGTGACTTTGAGCGGGTCAGGCCGATTTTGTGACAGTCAGTAAGAGCAGTTATTGACCTTTGTGTCTGTAAAATATGCTTACAAATATATTTACGCAAGTGGAAACACCTTGCTCCGCAGCGCGAAGCCTCTCACAATTTCCGGCGCACGGCGAACGGAATAGTAGCGCGAATACGCGCCCGATTGGAGACCGTATTGAACCATGGTTAAAAGCGCTAAAAAAGACGTAAACAAGATAGGAGACAAACACGGACGCTCCATGTTTGTCTTCTATCTTGTGTACGTCTTTTTTAGCGCTTTTAACCATGGTTCCATACAGTCAACACCAACTAGCCCAACAACAAGTTCTTTTACGATTGGAGACCGGTTCGGAAGGTTCTTTTGTTTTGCTGCGGTGCAAATTCAGCTCCAAAATGGCGCCGAACATTTCGGCTCAGGATCTGTTCCGGTTCGGGCAAAATAAGCGGCCCAGTTCCGGTTACGGTTCAGTTCCGGTTGCGGCTCAATTCCGGTTACGGTTCGACACCCTTGGTCAGACTGGTCCAGACATGGTTTCGGCGATGTGCCAGAAGCGCTCCTGGCCAGAGTGAGCGAGAGCCTAAGCTCGACCGCCCCTACTCAGGGAACGGAATCTATTACATGTCCGCAAGAAAATCAATTCCTGCCCTCCTCCCCCTCCCAACTCCACCGCAGATTTCGACCTGCACATTGCACTCTAACTCGAAATAAAATGGTGCTTGGTGCTGGTGTACGTGGTGACAATACTTGGACAACTCGCATACCGCTTGGGCCACCTGCATCTCAACGCTGGGTTCTACAACCAAGAGGCTCCCACCACGCCTTTTCGTCGGTTTTTACCGCCTTCCTTCAGTCGCTCGAGGTTGCGGCTCCATCCGCTGCCGCGAAGTCGGCTTTGCCAAATAACCACGCCTCTTCACTTCCATATTTGTTTCGTCTATCAGCTGTTATCCCTTCCTCCCCTCCCCCCCACCAATGATGACCGTTTGGCTTCTGGCTGTGACATACGAGTTTGAATTTTCTCTTTCTCAAGTCTTCTTCCTCTCTCTCCCAGTGAGCGAGATCTTGGGAGATGTTTGAAACAAAAACGTAAACATCTACCAACAACGTATTTGGCAGTGACCTGATGCGAGGCGGCCCCAGCACACCGTCAGCTTACTTGGTGGCGTCCCTAATATAGCGGCCGAATCACCATTCCCGTTTTCGGTGGTATCCCTAAGTGGGTAAAGGCAATCAAAAAGACCTAACAAAGAGAGAAAAAGAATTTAGCAGCAGTAACTTAAGGTAAAAACACTGTGAAGGTAGACTTGAACATTTGTATGTTTTTGCCTGAAATTACTTTTTTTTTTTTAATAGATCCTATTTTAGTCCTTAAGCGGAGTTTCTAGTTTCCTATATTGGCGGTTTCATCGGAACACAGCCTGGCAGATGAGGATGTGAGCGTTCTCGCAAAGATCGGCACTTTCCAAAATAATAAAAGCTGCAAAAAAAAAAAAAAAAAAAAAACCGGCACACTTGAAAGGCATTTTCTGTGTGGCGTAATACGCAAGTTCTTGAGTCTTCAGATTGGCGCATGAAGAGTTGCTTCGTAGTGTGCGTCAAGCTCATACAATGAATAAAATGAACGTCACGTGAGAAATACTGCACATGTCTGTGAGTATATATTAACTGCGATGAGACTATGTCTGAAGTCGGTTCTACGGCAAAATAGTTTCCTTGCACAAACTCTGAAGTGTACTTTCACCAAATGGCTTTGAAAATCCAGAGGCTGCAGTTAGTCTTGGCGATCCTCGTCGGTAATATTGTATTCTTTATGTCACGCGGTTTTCTCTTCGCGAGCCTATATGTGAACACCGCTATTTCGGTGAGCATGCTCTTATGCTAACGACCATCTGGTTTAACATAACCGGCAGTCTCCAACAAAACACTTTCAACTTTCTCTAATCTATTGCTTTTAATCAGATCTGTGGAAAAGTTGCAAGGTAAAAAATTCAATAAGTTGATGTTCTAAATATACACTAAAATTATATATAACTAAGCATACCGGCCGGTAGCCGCTACCACTGAAAAATAATTAAAACATGCTAATTTTATGGAAGTATGTAATTCATATTTGACAGTGTAAATCGTGATAAGCTCACTTTGTCATCCAATCAATCACTGCTGTTTTTGAATCCCAAATAAGTGGCGTACAGATTTTCTATCTCAATAGGATATTCTGACTTTATTCTAGTATTTCCAATTCATATAAAATTTTTTAATCCTCTCGAAAGTAGTCCAAACAATTCATATTCACACGGAACTAACATGCTTGGTAGAAGAGCGTGTTGGTTTAAGTCATGGATGAAGAAAGAACAAAACAATTAAAAAAGGAACAACAAAACCACATCTTTCATCTTTCATTCTTTCTTTCACATGAAAGACGTGGTTGTATTGTTCCTGTTTTAATTGTTTTATTCTTTCTTCATCCAGGAACTAACATGCGACGCTAGAACACGACCTGGCGTTAGTTTTATGAGTCTTCATCACTGGATGTAATATCTCCTCGTTTTCATCCATAAATGATACCAAATGGCGATTCGGCTGGCGCCCTCCTGAATTTTTACTACCATAATGTGGGGGCGGATTGTTTCTGTACTAAGGGAACTCTGTCACGCGGTTTACGCATAGCTATAAGCGAGCGCCACCTTATATGTATCTGAATCCTGCAAGAACCGAATACGGGAAGGAAACATTTTTTTTTCTCTCTCTTTTTGTTCGAAAAAAAAATGTATCCGAGTCATTCATTTTATGACCGCATCGTTGTGTGTTAATAAGGGAAGTGGGTTGAGCTGTATCACACGTCAGCTCGCCAGGCACCCGATGCTATTTCTGTGTTATTTTAATTTTCCGCCACTGTTATAAATACATTAAGTAAGGGGAGGAGGGAACATCTACGTCTTTTACTATGTAAACGCCCTCAAGTATCGCGACAGTTAGTAGAAAGGTTAATGGCAAACAAAACAGTAGAGAAAAGCTATGGACATTGAATCCTGCGTAATTGCACCGTAACTATTTTTTTAACAGGGTAGTCGGTTTAACAAGACATCGCACTGATATATTTTAATGTAAGGTTATTTCAGCTTTTAGTTTAACCTTTGATCTTGTATTTTAGTTTCATATTAATGTCAGTAATGAAGAGGGAGCAGCCCTGCTTTGTGAAAGCAAACAAGACGTCTGGACGTAGAGACAGGCAGAGGCATGTTTGCCTTTGAGATAGGGAAACCAGGGTCTTTGAGATAAGCAATTTACCTGTACAATATAACTGTCAACCAGCAGTTTTTGATGGGCTCTGACAATAGTAATTAAATGACCGCACGCTAGTACTATGGTCATCGATGTCGAAGCTGGCAGGAAGTCATACCTATAGTCTGCTGCGCGAGTTCTCCCTCCACGTTCTCGGTGCCCGTTGTTGACAAACCAGTGTTGCCTATCTCGTTACTGTGGCTACCTCCGCTTCTTTGCCGGCTATCTTCTTACACGTAATCCTCAAACAACTACCGGTTGCCGATCAGGCGAACCCGTAGCTAACATCTGCTGTACAAGTGGCTATGAAAGGGAACGAGTTCATAATTTGAGGTACAGGTATAAAAATAAGCAGAATATTTATTGGGAGTCTTCTTTCTTTAGTGCTCTCACCTTTTTACAAAGGTATCCAAAACATGATTGACAGCTTATGTAATGTGAACTTCAAAGTACATAAGAATGTTCGTATATCGTCGAGAGTCATCAATACGTGAAGCTCATTGCATCAAAACATTAATAAGCAAAATAAACTAAGAAATACCGCGATGACTACACTCGCAACCGCCGAACTACCTAGCATCGGCCACCCCGCGGAAATGAAAGCCGCCGTACAATCTGTTAAAACTGCAATTTGGGCCAGTGGTTCATGATCTCCTAATAAAGCACCAAAAAATACTTAGGTACAAGAGCCGCACCCTGTATTGTTCACTCTCTTGCCCTTGTATGTTTGGCGTTTTATTAGGTGCAAAATGTGATCGGTGTTGAGGTTAACAAAATGGCGACGGGAAAGAATATAAAAGAGGGGAATATTGGGCAGTTGGCATAACCACTAAGCAAAGGACGCATGAATGGGCCTTATTTTTAACGTATTGCCCGCCACAGATAAGGCGCATTCAAACTGGCATTCGAATCGCAACCGCAAAGCGGATCCGCTCCTTTTCATAACCAAACTCGCGTGCAATTAATTGTATGGGATCTCTAAGCAACCGCGTCCGCAACCACTTTGCGAACGCGGTCCAACCGCCAGTGTGAAAACGGCGTTAAAGAGTGACTCGAGTGTCAAAGGCCCGATTTTTGGCAGGTTCGATCGCAATAAATATGCAAGAAATAAATATTTGAATACATAATTCACGCGCCGAATTGAGTCACTGGCTTTTTCGTTTTGTGTTGCAAGTATGTGTCTTACACACGTACTTGCAACACATACGTTAGGGCGGTTATCGGAGAGCAAGCATTTCAGGCCAGAGTTTTCCGGCTCTGCGCCTCACTTATTGTTTTCTTCTCCGTAGTCTCTGTGCTATCAAACCTACGAGTGATCAGCAGCTCGAGACGCCCTCACCTTTTGGAAATAGTATTTTTTGCACAATTTATTTCAAGTACAAGAAGGATTCCTTGCCCGACACGGCCTGTTAGCTCCGGCCCAAGATTCTTTCGGCCCGATTTTGTAGTAAATACGCTTTATGGCTAGATTTCAGATTTCCACTTTGTGCACTTGGCTATCGTAGCATATATGCTCCATCATCTATTTCGGCATAGGATTTTTTTTTCAGAGGGTTAACTTTAACGTTCAAGTGTCAAAATATGGTTACCAAATATACTTGGAAAAGTATTTGAAGAGGATTAAATAGTTAAGTACAAAACGAGCGTGTTGGTAACAATATCCACTATAAGAAAGGTTATCTTCCTTACGGTTATTCCTTTGTGTGCATTATGTTTTGAATATTTTTCTTAATAACATTAAATTTGAAATTAAATTCATTTTTGTCAAATCATTTTGTGATTTTAATTCGATTCGTTTTTGAAAGTATCTTGCACATCCCTGCTCCGCACCATAATGTATCAGCATCAAGTTTTTTCCGTAGTTCAGCAGCGCGCCTGAAGTTTATTTAGACATATATAACGAGTTCTCATTTTAACAGAACAATATACAGCTACTCCGAATTAATTTATACAGTCGCAGACAGAACAACAAGTGCAGGGGTCTCTTGCGGATGCACAGCCTCTAGCACGTGCTTACTGACTTCCGTCGTGCTTTGGCTGCGCGTGAACGATAGAAGCTTATGAGACGCCGAAATGTTATCGGAGGGAATAGCGCCGGAGGCGGGACATTTGAAAGCCCTACTTTGTGTTCTCATTCTCGCAGTGACAATAGGATAATTATTTTTTTAATTTAAAGCATGGATTGGCAACATTAAAAGTGGTGTTCGTTTGCAAAAAAGAAAAGAAGACATGAAGGTGCATCACCAGTTCTTAGTATTCCCGTGCCCTCTAAAACATTCATATTGCCTCACTGTATTCCGCCAAATATTGATTTTTCATGCAGCGGTGCAAGAAAATGTTCCAGCGATGCTCGGTGGGATTGGTGAGAAATCATTTCACTATTACGAACGTTAGAACATTCTATCGGATATAATGTACCTTTTATTATCAATCTTCTTAGAAGCAACCGCAGTATCTGACAGCTTAAGAAACGCAGGGTGTGGAGGATCTCGAGCATTTCATTATCGTTTTTAAGCCAATGCGAAGCGCAGATTCGTCCGCTTCTTTTGCAGGGGTTGTGGAGACGTCAGAAAGACGCCGAGCTCTGATTGGTTCTGAATGAAAGATAGTGTGTAGACCTCAAAGCAGCTTACTTTGAAGTCTACCATTATCCTTCAATAGGAGCCAATCGGAGCTTGGCATCTTTTGGACGTCCCCGCAACTCCTGCAAAGGAAGTAGACGACTTACTGTCGGCATGAGATCGTGGAATCAGCCGATAAGGATACCGAAGAATTAATCAAGAACCAAGAGGCGCGATCATAATAAGCCATGCCCTACGCTTCTTAAACTGACGCGGACTACATCACAAATACAAAACACATTCGCACAGTGTAATCTGAAAGCACAAGAGCTCTGTGCGCGTCTCACTGCAAAGTACCAATTCTTTAAAGTGTGTAGCTAATTTGTGTTGCTCCTTGCGCGCAGTACCTCCTTTTTGGCCACCAGGACCACGGCGACCTCAATGCATACAGAGCCACGAATTTGGCAGTGGGGTAAGCATTCCATAAATTATCGCGAATATAGACTAAAATTAGCTGTTTAACTTCTCAACAATGCATACATAGTACCGTGTCTAAAAACGTATTATGCTTGTATCCAATTTAAATAACTATGCCAAGTGCTATCGAGCCCAAATAATAGTTTTGATTAATCTCGTAGGCACATAACGTCCCATAGGCGCTCCTTAGTTGCGAAATTTTCAATGCTGAAGGTTGAGGCTTGCATGTACGTACATGATATATTCGGCTAAAAATGACTTTGACGAGTTAATTAGCCAATTAATATCTATATACAGATGCATTTTCTCAGCTGACATATTCCAATCAAATAAGATCTGTTGTAAACGAAACGCCAAATTGGTTATCAGATTTCAGAAATCTATATTTTTCCTAACGCTATTCTGGGGACAATTTTAACTCTTAAGAACTCAAGGTACAAGAACTCGCTTTCAGACAAGCGAGAATTCCCACCCCAAGGTGACATGTCTCTAGCTGCTGGACGGTGGTTAGGAATAACTGCAAACCAATCTTGAGTTGGTGCGAAATGCTTTAGTTACGTTGTCAACGGAACGATATGTCACACCTTTTAATTTTATTGAATTATGAAGTTTTTTTAAGTTTTCTTCTTAATTTTGGTATGGCGGCAAATGACAATGTTTTGAACGACAAACACAAAAAATATTAAAAAAACAACACTGTACTCCCCCCCCCTCTTTTCCAAAAAGAAATTAAAACTAATTGCCTAGATAACCTCCATATGTAAATAAAAAAACTTGAAACTGATAAAAATTGCGCGATATTTATTTAGTGAGGCACATTTTTAGACTGGAACTTGCTTCTACTGCTTGTTGCAAATAAAATGTGCCCAAATAGAATAACCTTTAGGGAATCGCTCTTCACTACAAATTCGTATCACTGCGTAAATTTAACGCTATTTTTGTTTTTTGTTTTTTTTTTTTTACTTTATTTTCGGCAATTCGGAAACATAATATTTTTTGAAAGTTCAGCGTTTGTAGGACCCATTCCGAAACATGTCTCTATTTCTGATTGACGTTCCTAGATATCAAAATCGCTCTTGTTTCAATATATGTCTCGCGATATATTTTATCTTTTTTTATTTTTTTGGAGGGCAGTGGGGGGGGGGGCATTATTTTCTCATCTTTTTAATTTTAATTTCGTGTTTATTTACACAGAAGGAAAAGGTTCTACACAATGTTCGCTGATATTTAATGCCGCTATCAGTTTCAGTAATGTCAGGTATGCTAATTTCAATAAAAATTTATTTTAAAAAATGTAAAAATTATCGTGTACTATTACCTAAAAAAATGTTAGAACATTGTTAGCAGGAGTTTGTACTTCTGAATCTACAGGACGAAGCAATTAAACTGAAACCACGTTGTGATGGCGGTTGTGGCGAGGAAAAGCCGAAGGAGGGCGACAAATGTGTTGTAAGTCGATCGGAAAAGTGTTCGTGTTGTGCTTGTTTTAATTGGCCGCACGTTCTTATTTCATAAATTGTCCTGGCTGCTCCGCTAGCGGCAAATCTAACATAATTGTTTACGTGAATTTCCGACAAATGTTGCGGGAATTTTAAATATATCTCCTTCCAGGTGGTGTCTGGAACATCAGGCCCTGTTTTATTCATTCTCTCTGGAGTATGTCAAAACATGACGTGTGAAATAAGCAACGAAAGCGAGATATATAAACAAGAAATGAATGTATCGCTCAATAATATTGATGTCGGTAAGCATATTTTAGTTCTGCGAAAATTTAATATATAAGTATGTGTGGAAAAAAAAAATGAAAGACGTTTACAATTCTCTGTAATGCCGTATTACAGCGCAGGTCCTGAGGGGGAGGAGGGCAGGGTACGGAAGGGAGGGTATACCCCTCCTGCCCCTTCCGTTTTGCTCCCCTCCCATTTAGCGGTAATTTTCCGCTAAATGTCCCGCTAAATTTAGCGGGGAAATTCTTCCTCTAAATTTAGCGGGGAATTATTTTGACTAAAGTTGGCGGGGAATTGTTTCCGCTAGGTTTTTAGGGGGGACATTTTTCCGCTAGATGTAGCAGGGAAATTTTGTCACTAAATTGAGCGGTGAAATTTTTCCGATAAATGTAGGAGAGAAACTTTGCTAAAATTTCCCGCTAAACTTAGCTGGGAACATTTTCCATAATGCACCACGCGGTTACGCCCGCGCGGTTACGCCCGCTTGCATTATTTCCATAATGCACTGCGTGCGGTTTCGCCGACGGTGACGGCGACGATGACGCCGCTGAAGCCGGAAACCGGAGCGGCGCTCTAAAAAAACTGTGAGCTTAATAGCGTCATGTCCCGCTAACATGAACGCCACCGTTTCCCTGAAAAATCGCCCATAACCTAAGTCGTCCATAATAACAATCGAAATATATATTAAAAAAATAGAAATCGACAACGAGCATGGTTACAGGAAACCCAGTGTTTTTAGCTACTTTATTTTAGACTTTGGACCCCGATTTCTTGTCCAAATAAAAGTGAAATACGATAGCGTTATCGGGCCCCTTCGCTCTGCTGTCTCACTCCGTCTCATGCTCGGAGACGCGAGTGCGCTCCGACATCCGGAACCGCTGTCGCATTTCGGGATCTTCCTGCCGCTGCTGTCGCCTCACTTTGGCTTCACGGGCACGCATACCAGCAAATAAATGCCGCTCATTCCCAAGTCATGCGAGAGTGCCTTGCGTAGCCTTGTCAGTACCATGTCTGGCTCGCAACGAAAGGGTTTGGGTTTCGAGTCCCGCCTAAAATTCTTCAAATTGTTTCCTTAAGGCAGTATATAAATTATTTTATAAAGTAAAAAAATTTTGAGACATGCAGTAACGTTTAAGCCGCATCACATGTCATGTTTTTACCCCTTTCCTTCCTCCGTGACGTCACGTTTCACGTGAGTGTTGTGGGTTGCTTGAAATTCCTGCGCGAGGTCATGTGGCTGTGACACCATGACCCTTGCGACAAGTCGGGATTTTCCCATCACGACGCCACCGACGCGAGCTATTCTCCTACACCAGCTCCTTAACTCTGTCGCGTTAAGAGCGTTATAGGTCTCTTACCTGTGGGACAGATTCTGCTCACTTCAGCTGGACGCATGGCAGATTTCACTGCCCCCTAAGCAGGAAATCAATCCGAAAATTAAACTTGGAGGACGCCCAAGCTTCGCCTTTAAGAGTGGAACTCAATAACTAAACATATAAATTTCCGCTCGTTCGTAAGCCGTGCAAGCGTCTCTGAGCGGCCTAGCCAATAACGTGTCCTTCTCGCACCGGAAGCGTTGTGGGTTTCAATACAGCCTAAGATTTTTCTTTTTTTTTTCTTTAAACTTTATAAAGTTAAATTATTTTAGACATACGGCGGCTTTTAATTCGCATTGCCATACCATGTTTCTTAATCACTTTCATACCACTCGTGACGTCACATTTCACGTGAGCGTTGTGGTTTGCTTGAAATTCCCGACCGAGGTCATGTGGCTGTGACGTCATAAACCTATCTACCAATCAGGATCTTCGCGGCAGGCCACCGGCGCCGGCCTTTCTCGTCAGGCCAGCGACGCCGGATTTTTTGTGACACGAGCTCCGTACCGCTATCGCTAATAATAGTTGGGTTACGGTTACCATTTTATGTACTGAATTAAAATCGTTTCGTTGTTTTTCTCTCTTTTTTTGGCGGTTTTATAGGAGCGGAAAAAAAAGTTGAAAGTTGGATGTTAGAATGTTGCAAATAACAATGTTGATATTACTTTTTATATACAGACCATGTTTCTTCTCGTTGGTTTACTTGATTCAAGGCTAGATACTTTGTTCATAATAATTGGTTTCAAGTAGCCATGATATCACACAATGAGTCGACGAGGCAAAATGCATCGTCACGACTCATAGTTACAAGAATTCGAAAATGTCATCGCCTCTCCTGATTCGTTAGGAGTTTCAAATATGTTCCCTTCTAAAGCGCTCGTACTTAATATTTGTTTTCAGTTATATCTCTCTCTCTCTCTATATATATATATATATATATATATAGATATATAGATATATATACGTTTCGGCCGGACTCCAGGTGGCGGGTTCGAATCCCGACCGAGGTGCCCGCAATATGACGGAGGCTTATTGCGGAGAAGGCGCCGTGTAACCGAGCTTTCGGTTGCACGTCAAAAGATCCCCAGGTGGTTCAAATTAATCCTCAGTCCTCCGCTGGGGCGTGCCAAATGCCCGTCGTAGGTTTGGCACGTAAAACCATAATACACACAGTACAAGACGCTGTAAATACCACCTTCCATAGCAAGACAAAATATCTGCCTCTAAGTAGTGCCGCGTTTTTTGTTTTTTTTCTAACATTCCTATGACCTCTTCGTTGTTTCTACGGATTTTCTATTTCATGATTTTCTATAGCTAGTCTAGAAGTAACACCATTTAACATGGAGTCAAATAACATTTTATTTAGAATTCATAACGCTAGAAAGCATTGACAGGGCAGAACTTTGGACGTAGTAGTCAGCCACCACCAACAGCGTGTCGTCAACGATCCTCGCCTCCAAAAAGAGTCGGCAGTTGCCATAAAACATAAAAAAGGAACCCAGTGGTTCCCGATCTCTTTGACCACTCCGGCTAGGCGTTCCTTCATTTTGTTAAGTCTCCGTTAGTCTCATATCAAAATCTCGTCGACGACGTTTATTTGTACATGAATTCACGTGTGAAGCTAACTTTGAACTGTTTGCATCTGAAGACCTGAAGTCCTCAAAGCTGATATAGGTTACTCCGACTAGACGTCTCTGACCACGGGTGGCGTATGTACCCTGAGCAGGTATCTCAGGGTACATATGTCACCCATATAACCTTAGAAAATGACTAAAGATGTGCATTGTGGCCCCATGTGAGCCAATACGAGCATCTAAAAGATGACGGCAACACACTGTAGTTACCTCCTCCGGTGTGTTGTCATATTCCTTACCCCGGTTCTCGTACTCACTGGCCCCGCAGCATCTGGAACTTGCCAGGTTATGCTAAAACAAAGTCGACTGTAGCTTATCCCCGGCGCCTGCCATAACACATGCCGTGTGCCAGTTCCGATCTGCTGTGCGGCATTTGGCCCTCTCACCAGTTGAATTGGAATGCATAGCACCGCCTGCCGAGAAAGAACACATAGAATAAATAAAGGAATCCTTGGTAGAAAGCAATACACTAAAAGATATGCTTAGTTTACTAAAGCGATACTTTGACTAGGGGAGCCTACTTGAATTATATTTAAGTGTACAAAAATTGTACCTGTACACAGTATTCAAAGTACACTTGTAAATACAAAACTTGTACTACATGCACTTGGGCATACTTGAATTGTTTTGATACGGCTGTATCAATGTACTAAAAATTAACTATTGCAGTATGCTTATTGTATACTTTCGTAAATATTGTAGAAATGAACTTTAAGTGCTTTTTAATATCTTTTTAACTTTACTAAAAGTGTAGGGAATATGATGCTAACAATAGTTGTAGGTTGTTTTGCGGTCTACCGTCAGGGGTAGGGGGCCCGTGGAACGTTGCTGGTTGCTGGGGGGGGGGGGGGGGGGGGGGGAATTGTCGTCGGTGGCGAGAACTCGGGAAAGGGACGGCCAAGAGAGACTGTGTTCGATTAAAACATAAAAAATTTTACCGTAACTTTCGATGAGTACCAAAAAACCGAGAGCCCCTTGCACGAAGAATCTCTAGTTTGAAGCTCCAGGCTGCCTGAACACCAGCGCTTCCTGCAGAAGCAGTTGTTTCCATCCGTATGCACGGTGGCTTATGCAAGTCAGTGCCTCCCGAGTTTCTAGCGAAGCGTATGGGCTAACTCGCGGGGGAAAGCGAGTTATTTATTTAAATGGTGGACCTGAAACACACCTGTTTTCCTATCTTCATCTTCTTTAATGCCAATGTAGGCAAATTATGACAGAAAATGAGTAAACACGCTTCATAAACCGGTGAGAAGGCGGGCTTTACCATGCTCCACCGCCAAACAATATCGCCAGCCAAAAAAAAGAAAAAAACAGGGGAAAAACATTAAAAAAAAACTGCTTTCTTTTTTTTTTCTTTTTTTTTAGGGGGGTGATTTTTAGCAGTTGCATGCACCAGTGTTTCTCTCACAACTCCATGATTCAGAACAAATGCAGAAAATCACTTAGCAATTTAGCCTTGTGTTTCTAGGGAGATGATACTGGACTCCCAGAGATTCGGAAATGGTGCGAAAGACTGCGTTCAGGCGCCTTGTGTACTAATGTAAACACAAAACTATACGAGCCCTGTTAAGTACTTCTACTTCAACTACGACCACAATAATCATTACATCATGTCCAGGGTATCTTAAACTCATGCAACTAGTTTTACGTATTGAAAGGCGTACGACGTTATAGAAGAAAACTGCAAAAACAATAGCGCCACTTAATCGTCCCGCAATAGAGCGTCGAGGCGTTCATCTTCCCATGTGGTGTTCAAAAACTTTTTTGCCGAGGTTCCGCGAGATGGCGCCAGAGGTCTAAGGAGCAGCGTCCTCGAAGGCAGACAGCGCGCTTCAGCTTCAAAGCCGATTTTTCTACCGTCTACCTTTGATTTTGGCGCGTAAACGTGGCGTTAAATATTTGTGGACGTGGCGCCCGGAGGAGATCGGTAACGACAAAATATTTTAAATCATTATATTTATAATTTTAATTGCTTTTCGTTCTATTTACAGGAGTTTTTTTTTTTTT